AGTCCCGCCCCTCCTCCACTGTGATTGGACGGCTGGGTAAAAAGTGATAGTGATGAGCGCTGCGTTTTATCCAAAGTTGAACATTTTTCAACTCACAGCGACCAGTATAAATGCTGAGCGCTCTGCGCTTCAGCGTGAAAAAAACGCTCAGCGCTTCGGTACGCTCATGGCGTTTAAAAAAACGCCGCGCTCCCATTGAAAACAATTGAAAACGTACGGTGGGCGCGTGGAAAAACGCTTTGGTGGACACACGGCCTTAAGGCCCTTTCAGTGTGAAACCAATTTATTTCATACACGTAAAGTAGTTCTTGTTGAGAATGAACAGAGGTTTAGATGTTGTTTTATTGAAAATAATAAAATTTGGAGTCACCATTATCGTGATCGGTTTTTTTTTGGGGGGGGGGGGGGGGTTTACCATTCATTTACAGGACTTTTTTTTTTTTTTTACAGTTTAGAAACTATAAGTAATGGAAGTATATGAGAGTTCATAATGACCAGGGTCTGCCATGCACCATAAAAGCAGTACATACAACTCGAATGCTACTGGGTCTTCTGCTGACTTTGCTCTCCGTTTAATAGTAATTGATGTCTTAAAATATGAACAGGATCTCATTTGTGGATTTTCTTCCCTATGTGAATTTTTCCCATTCAAACTGACAGAGAATGTTTGTACACAAAAAGGAAATCCACCTACACATACAAACACACATTCACACATTTATCTCCATCCTATGAAATGCATTATTTATCAGTCATCTGTTATATTATTCAAGATTCTCTAGACCACGTACGCTTTCACGCGAGGACAATCTGTCAATCTGACATGGAAGTTTAGTTTGTTTGACTTGTTTCACCAGACAAATACAAATGCCGTTCTCCATGTAACTAAACTAAAAAAAAAAAAAACGAAAGTAAACTAAATGCGATTACAGTATGTCCCATGCTGTTCTTTGTGAAATGAGATGGTGAGGCTAGTCGGCCAACATGTTTTTTGTCTGGAGGTGCTTCATGGCCAAGGAATTCTTGTTGTTGGAACACCAGCTACCAAATCTGGCAACGAACTACCAAAACATACGGTATGATAGTGACCATCATGAAGGCATAGCTTAAAAAAACAAGCACCTCCTGCCAGCTACAGTTTCAGGTTGACATGTTCTGATCCAGACGTCATGTTTACTTTTCATTTTTCGAAGCGTATTGATGGTCTCCAGCCTATAAGGTGCCCCCGTTTGGCTTGTGCATTCTCCAGATTTCAAAGAGATGCAAAACACGCCATCTGTCAGCATCCAAAATCCCCATCAGTCTCACCTTATTCATTATTTACATGCAGGATGGGCCATACTTAGAGGACTGATGCTGCAATGCATTATGGGGGCAGTTCCAGTAATCCACTATCCCGCTGGCCTCAGCAGAACTCGTCTTGTGAGCTGTCAGAAAATTTACATCTCAGGATAGTTGCTCTAATACCTGACAGTATATATCGTTTGTTTCTATTGAAATGGATTGAAAATTAATGGGAATATTGGTGAAATGATCTACTGCTCAGGGTTGTGTTTTACTGTACCTCTTTAATACTGCGCTCCATCCAATACTCCTACAGGTTGTACATAACATCCCTGACTTCTGACCACTAAAATGTTCTATTTCCCGAAGGTTGTAGAGTGCTATCGTTTCAGTTTGTGAACAACGGACGTCTCCAAGCAACTAAATTGCAGAGGATAAACAATGCTGTGCAATACTAACATTTGTTCTGCAAGTGTACGATAATCAGCAGAGAGGATCATTTCATACTGTGTTTTACACACCTACGGCCTATTTATCTTGTAATGGAGGAACTGATGCATTTCAATGGCTTAAAAGTGAATGTTTATCATTAACTGATGTCATATACCTGTGAGAACTTAATTATGGATTTCTGCACAATTTCCCAAGTTGAAAGTCTGACTTCAAGTGGTGATCAATTACACTTTTCCAAGTAGAAAGTTCAGACATTCAGAATATCACCTAGCATGGATAACATCATGGATTACCAGGCTCTGATTATTTAAAAAGTCTTTTTGCTATTTAAAAAAAGGACAAGCCGTTAGGTGTGTATATATAGGAAATATGTCAACAAAGAGTTAATCAAACCATTACATGTCTTGACAAATCTTACACTGGACTCTAAAAATGCTGGGTTGTTTCACCTCAGTTTTGGGTCAAATATGGGAAAACCCAACCAGTGGGTTCAATTTTTTAATTAAATTTTTAACCCAACATTTGGGTTTGTCCGTATTTGACCCAAAATTGGGTTAAAACAACCCAGCATTTTTTAGAGTGTGTAGTATCTCAGTACATCAGAAATATGTACTGCGTTTGTGTTTTCTGTGATCAACTACAAATTGTAATGCGTCAATTCCCAATTAGGTTCCACCTGCAGTCCCACATTAGGAGCGTTCGCAGTTAATGGATCTAGCCACCAGAGAACTAAATTTCCCTTAGGGCCATTTTCCTGGTTGTATTCGCTCCGCCAGTAAGAACTCTGAAGTAACGTAAGCCAGCCGACAGTGACGTCATTTAAGTCAACAAACTCAACAACTGGAGAATGGAGGACGGCGTGATCGGAGCTGTGTTTTGTTTTGGGATTCGTGGTGGAATGTAGACGTTTAAGTTATGCGATGGAGAGGGCTAAAAGACGAAATCTCCTACGACAACTTGCAGCGCTAAACAACACAACACCGCAGACAAAGGTAACAGGTAAATGCCGTTAACATTAGCCTTCTGTTTATGTCTTGTAACAATATAAAACACTTTACACTTTTAAGGGATGAAAATTAAGTCATTAATTACTCACCCCCATGCTGTTCCAACCCCATAAGACCTTCGTTCATCTTCGGAACACAAATTAAGATATTTTTGATTAAATTTGCTATCACTATTGCTATGGGCCTGAGACGAGAGTTCAAGAGATTTCCACGACGCATGCGCGAGAATTGCACAAATAACGCAATTCTCGCGCATGCGTCGTGGAAATCTCTTGAACTCTCGTCTCAGGCCCAGAAGGAAGAAAAGCAATAGTCGAATAAAGTCGTTATTTTTGTTTTATTTCCGCACAAAAAGTATTCTCGTCGCTTGATAAACTTAGTTGAGCCACTGTAGTCACATGGACTATTTAAACAATTTTCTTCAATGACTTTCTGGGCCTTCGAGTTTCAATCATTTAGGAGCCTATAGCAGTGATAGCAAATTTAATCAAAAATAACTTGATTACGATATTCAATAACTTGATTGCAATATTACGAACTTGATTGTGAATAACGAAAATTGCACAATAAGTAGTAGAAAAATAACGCAATTCGCGCGCATGCGTCGTGGAAATCTCTTGAACTCTCGTCTCAGGCCCAGAAGGTAGAAAAGGAATAGACGAATAAAGTCGTTTTTCGCACAAAAAATATTCTCGACGCTTAATAAGCTTATAGTGGAACCACTGTAGTCACATGGAATATTCAAACATTTTCTTCATTGACTTTCTGGGCCGTCAAGTTTCGATCCCTTAGGGTGGCTATGTAGCAGTGATCCAGCTCTCAAATTTAATCAAAAATATCTTCATTTGTGTTCCGAAGATGAACGAAGGTCTTACAGGGTTGGTACAGCATGGGGGTGAGTAATTAATGACTTAATTTTCATTTTTGGATGAACTAACCGTTTAAATTGTGCATGGTTTTTCAAAATGGTTCCAGTCAGCGTACACTTACCTCATTGGTAGTTTCTATTGTGTTGGTTTAGACCCTACTCTGAAGTAGGAGCTAATTTAGTTCCTCCAAACGGTGTTGCTAGAACTAAATTCATTCCCAGTCCCTGCGCTGCAAACAAGCCAAAAAGAAAGTTTAAGGAACTATGAACAGGTTCCTTGGGTGCAAAAGCCCCTATCATCTGCCTGAGCAGGTGCAACTGTCGGCTGTGCTTATAATGAAGGTCCTTTGTTAAGGCCTTTATCTTGTACACACAGGCAGCTTCTGCTATCTGTTGCGTTATGTAATAGCAAAGTTGGGGGCGGGGGTTCCTCTTGGCATTTGACCTTCCTTTTATGTGTTTAGCAGCTGCTAACCATCTGCAGCGTTATGCAAAGCAAAATCTGTCTTTTTCGTTCTAGACATTGGCGAGACTATGTGACTGAAAATGACAGTTTGTTCCATTTAGTGAGTGAATATGCCTCAAAATTAAATACTCATTCAAAGTATGGCACAAGTGTCTGTGAACACTGGGGAAATTGGTGGAAATGTGTAGATTTTGTAATCAGACCTACAAAATCTAAAAGTAATTATTATTCATTACAGAAAACCAAGTGGGAGACACAGTTCTGCATGTAGATATCTAAGGGTGTTTTCAGACCTGTAGATCGCTTGCTTTAGTCCTAAATGGGGATTACAATTGTTGGCAGCATTTCCAAATGGACCAAAATTCAAGTCACGTGTGAGTAAACTGTCCTCTTATTGGTTAAAGCGCACCAATTTATATTCCCGCCTCCGGGATTCTGCTCATAGCAGTCAAATGTCAGGATTAAATCAGATTCAACCCCATCTCTTAGAGACGCTTGCTAAACACCTTGCAAACTTGGATATTTTCCTGTCTTAGAAAGTTGTTCTGAAATATGTTTGTCTGATCAAGTTTCAATTTGGCATTTGACTTCGTCTTTGTTCCAGATTAACCCATGATTCATTTACATTTACATTTATTCATTTAGCTGACGCTTTTATCCAAAGCGACTTACAATTGCTATATATGTCAGAAGTCGCACGCCTCTGGAGCAACTAGGGGTTAAGGTCTTGCTCAGGGACACATTGGTGTCTCACAGTGGATTCGAACCCGGGTCTCTCACACCAAAGGCATGTGTCTTACCCACTGCGCCATTTTTAGCAAAGTTGGGGGTGGGGGATTCATTTTGAGAGGCATTTGCAAAACAAACGCTTATGCCTTTCATGTAATGTAAATAACTGGTTGGATTTGGGGCTAGGGCTGGGGGTGGGTGGATGTGGATTTTTTTTGGGGTGGGGGGGGGGGGTGTGGGGGGGTTGGACGATTGTGAGGGTCTTGGTCAGACAGGTGGCCAGAACCTCTAACTCTATTCCTTCCCTCCAGGCACGAAAATGGCCCTGAAATTCTTGCGAAAGAAAACCACGAAGCTGAAGAGTTTCCTTCGCGAGTACAGCATCTCTCTTTACCTGTCACCCTGTCCTTTCATCATCAACATGTTTGGCATTGCCTTCGAGACTGATGAATACTACATCTTCGCTCAAGAGTATGCGCTGGCAGGCGATCTCTTTGACATCATACCTCCGCAGGTGAGACAACGAGAACTTCTTTACCTCACTTGAATCTCTTCTAATAGACATATTCATACTTAAAAAGTCCTAAATTAAAGCATTGAAATGATTTTTCATTTCTTATTGAACAGTATGTTGAATTGAAAACTTTGTTGTACCATTATCACACTATGTTGTACCATTATCATAAACATTTGAAGAAAATTTGAGTCATATAAAGCAATGTAAATCGGTGTTATTGGTTGTTTTGGGTGATTGACAGGGTGCCTGGGTAACTGGTGCAGTTTTTAGACTGGTTGTTAATGCATTGCTTGGGTGTTCTGGGTGGTTGCTTACTTGCATTAAGCCAAAAGAGCTCATTCTGAAGTATCTAAATGATAGTCTTGCCTTTAGATATGACTCAGGTGCCTCCTTTAATGCAAATCTATGGGATTTTCCCCCTCCCTTAAGCATTAAGATTTCCATTGTTAGAAATCCAGTCATACTATTGAATGGTCGTGCAACACTCTCTCATTTTCCCCCGAGATGAGAGAAATCTGCTATTTACCTTTTTCACTTCCTCCTACAATGATGCAAAAATCGTCATTTTACGTCATTCTAGGAGGAAGTGTAAGAGGGGGGATTTCTGTAAAGATTACAAGCACTAGATCCAACCCTTTCAAACCCACCCATAGGGGGGGTTGGGCCTAATGTGCTAACAGACCTATCACAGATCAGTGCCAGTGCGTCTGATTTCACCGGCAGAAACTTTGTGAAAATATGGACGAAGGTACTGAATACCCAATCCCCTCGCTATCAGACGTTCCGGGAGTCTTCCGCATATTGATAACGGCTCCCTGATGCCCGCAAATTAGTTAAAATCTCCCGGAATCTAGAGCGAGTTAGCAAGAGCGCGCATGCGAGACAGATCAGACTGTGCTCCAAATCGTATAGTGCGCGCACAAGGGGGAGGGAGAGAGCGAGAGACTTTGCGTGTGTGCGCCTCATGACACAGAGACTCCGAAATTTTCGTTTTTATTCGGTCTGGTTATTACCTCTGGTTTACCTCTGAACCGGTTCCCTATTGGCACAGCGTACACGTGTAAACTGAAGCATCAGAATAAGTGTGCCGATTGTCTGAAGCCCATATAGAATCATGTATATCCATTGGGTGATGGCGTGGGCGCCGCCTTGACGCTCTTATGGCGTCATATTTTATTAGCGCGCATTATCTGATTTCATTGTGGGAAATGATTTCCAGGCGGTAGCGTAGAGTGGAGCTCAACTCTAGCAGAGAATGTCTAATTGAAGAGAATTGGCACTGGCTGGTTACTTCCGGTTTCTGGACTGGCTGCAGTAACACGTCTCTGTCCATGCGGGGGCGCTCGCGGTCGAGTGCAGAATGAATGGGAGTCAATGGGGTTTCACCCCCAGAAAACGAATTTTTTCAGGATGTAATTTTTTGTCAAGTATTTTGAAAGTTGCATTCAAAAGGGAGGGCTAAGATAATACACTCAGCTGAAAATTGCATTTTTAAGTTCACTTATCTGTTCTAAAAATCCGTTCAAAAATGTGATGACATCACACAATAGCAGAATGCTAGCGTGTTCCGGCCAACAACGACCTAACCTGTAAGAAATCAAAAGGACATAAGTACTCTTTCATTCGACTTTTGGCCTATAATCTATATTGAACTTCCGGAATCAACAATAAAATCTATGTTGATTTAACGACAAGCAGGTGAAAGAGACACATTTAGCCGTTTAGCCCCATAGACTCCCATTCATTCTGCACTCGCCCGCGATCACCTCCAGTGGAATTCTAATGGAACTGCAACCAAGATTATACACAACAGGGCTAATAGGAAGGGCCAAGGCTCTCTGTTAGACGGGCTCTGACTCTAGTCTACATTGATGGGCGGAGTAGTGGGAGTGGCCTGCGGTGATGAGCTTTGCAATGCACTATGGGTATTGTTGTCTACAATCCACAAGCACTAAATCTGCCTTTTATCGGCCAAGAAAGACCCAAATTAGAAATTTATGATACTATTCTACTACATATATGACCCACTTTCAATACATATTCATGTCTCCACCGGTGGAATTACCCTTTAATGATCCTCTCCTAGGTGTGAAGCATGATTTGAGTTTCATTCATGTGTGTAGCTCAAATGGCGCAGGGTGATTTACATGGATGGTTAGGGTTTTGTTCAATTTGAATTGGTATTTTGCATATCCTTTTTACTTTGTTCAGTGTTAGCAATTTTGACGCTAAATTAAGCGACTTTTAAAACAACTTTTTTTTTTTTTTTAAAAAGGCGCCAAGTGGCAAACCTCTATCTAGTTTCCCAGACTTGTACTTTCCCATGAGCATGGGGTCATGCGTTCCCACTACATGCACAACTATCTCTTCACCTGCTCCAGCCTCCATTCAGAGAATAGCTAAGATGATCAGCACATTCAGTTGAGGCTGTGCGCAGTCAAAGAAATAATAAGAAAGAAAACCAATCATTTTAATATAAATATAAATCATGTAAATAGAGCAGCAGCTTGGAAGTGACACACATAATCTTAATGGGCTTTGTTTCAGTCACTATTTCATATTCTCGTTCCATCGCCTGACAATATAAACAGAGAAATATGTAAATGAGAACAGATTTATAGGGGATTAGGCTGTATTAAAATAAAGTATGTGAACACAGAGAGTAGGAGAGAAACAAAGAAATGTGAAGGACTAACACTAGACACGATGTACTGATGTCACTAATATGTAAATTAGCTTTTATTCAAGTCAAGCTACATTATTTATGTAGCGCTTTTTACAATACAGATTGTTTCAAAGCAGCTTTGTCGTGATAACAAGAAAATGATGTAACTGTTTCTAGAAGAAATAATCCAGTTTAAGTAAGTTCAGTGATGGTTTAATTTTTTTTTGTGTAAAAAAGTCACTGATATATGAACTATATACTTATATAATTGATATATGTAGCCACTCTCTAGCGAGATTTAGCACGTTTCTGAGCTGTCTTCAGCTACTTCTCTTTGAACATAGTTGGCAACAGTGCCTTTGTTGGCAACTAAATGAGGACTTTGTGTTCCCTCCAAACTTGTTGCTGCATTACAAAAAGTCTTCAGATTTGTCAGTCTGTGAGAATCATGATAATATACATTATGTAACCACTTGGCTTCTAATTCTGTACTCTCTCGTTGTGCGCAGGTGGGACTGCCGGAGAACGTTGCCAAGCGGTGTGTGCACCAGGTGGCGATTGCTCTGGATTACCTGCACTGCAAGAAGCTGGTGCATCGTGACATAAAGCCAGAGAACGTCCTCATCTTTGACAAGGATTGCCGGAAGGTGAAACTCTCAGACTTTGGCATGACGAGGCGCGCCGGCTCTCCGGTGAAGCGGGTTAGCGGGACCATCCCGTACACGGCGCCAGAACTGTGCGACCCCGGTCGACAGGAGGGCCTGTGCGTGGACTACAGCACCGACGTGTGGGCCTTTGGCGTGCTTCTGTTCTGCATGCTCACCGGGAACTTCCCATGGGAGAAAGCGTTGCCGTCCGACGCCTTCTACGAGGAGTTTGTGCGCTGGCAGCAGCGGCGGAGGCGGTCCAGCGCAGTGCCTTCGCAGTGGCGTCGTTTCACTGACGATGCGCTCCGCATGTTTCGCTGTCTGCTGTCCATCGAGCAGGACCACCGATGCTCCGTCAAAGAAGTCTTTAGCTACTTCAGCCACTGCTGGATGCTGGACACGGAGAACGGGAACACGACACACGCCTCGGGCGGGAACTGCAACGGCGGCGCGGTGATGAACGGCCGTCAGGCTGAGCTTAGCTCCTCTTCCTCTGAAGAAGACGAGTTGGTGGACCGATTGAAGCAACAGAGCTTGTCGCCTGTATGTGGGGTTGCTAAAGGGATCGTGATGGAGCCGGTGATGGCGCACTTCTCCTCTACATCCACCAACAGCTCGGCTTCCTCCAATGGCGGCTATGAGCGTGTCTCCCGTGACAGCAATGGCAACAGTGGTCGAATCCTGGTCACAACGCCAATTGAAATATGCGTGTAGAGAGGTCACTTGAATTAACCTACCTTGCACAAGTACTTGGGATCACTAGATGACAATAAGGACTCAAGTCCTTGCGAAGCATCATTAGGAAAAGTGCGTACAAGTGCTCCAAGAGCATCCCAAGGAGAGTTGACAGCGTGAAACTGTTCCCGATGAAGAGTATCTCTGAGGGAACGTGTTAGACAATCGACTAAGCCTGCTGATTGTGCATCAACCATGTTTTCCACGTATAATTAGACCAAAACGACATTGACAACTTTGGAAGAATTGGGGAAAAAACTCTTCTATGGAAATATGGAGCAATATGTTGACTTTTTTGGCGTGAAAATGATTGGAAAGACTGGTTGGAAAAAACGGCTAAAGTGGAGACTTAACGTGGTTTCAGAAGCACAGTTGGAGCTGTGTTGGTATTGTTTCGTGCTTGTGTATCCCTGTGGTCGGTCAGTGGATATGACTTATTGATTACTTTATACGTGTGTTGTATTATTCATTTAGGTCTTGGCCTTTTTGTTATTTATTTAATACTGTAGCATTACAGTGTTTAAATATAATATTTTGGAGAAACCACACTGTCAAGTCTCAGTTTGCTCTCTATTAATCTGAAACTAGCAAAAAAAAAAAAAAACTCACTTAATTGCAGGAAACTGAAACCCGAAGGTTTGAATGGTAAATGCAAAACTCTCTTCAGAGAAACGTATAGATGCAATCCATGTAATTCCTCTCTATTTAGGCATGCAGTACTTGGCCCTGCGTCACCTAGAATGAAATAGTTGTACAAATCTTGCATTCAGAAACAGGGCTGTCCCGCTAAATACAAGAGAGATTTAGACATGATGGCTTCCAGAAGTACAAAACCCTTGAAAAACCCTTCAGCCTTTGTGTGTTGACATACAGTTCATACCGTAATACCACATTACATACATTTCCTTTTTTGCGTTCTCTCTGAGCATCATGGATAGCACACGTATTTCATTTGAGACGTCTTTTTGATTTCCTCTAGAAGATGTCAGTATTGGACCCCTTTCAATGTCTTGGACAAGTTCCTATCGGACATTAGATCGTTTCAACATTTTTTATGTATGAATTTGCTTTTTTCAAGATATTTATCAGATGTATGCGATGCGTAAAAAGAATGCTATGCTTTCCAGATGATGTTCTCTTTCACAGATGTCTTGTTGACATACGTGTGCAAGGATTTCTCAGGTATACCATTCACTGTGTTATATTCAAAAGTCAACATGAAATAAAAATTTACTATCTTAATACACATTTCTGGTCTTACTGTGCACGACTGGTCTTACCGACTTTGCACATTATTCAAATAAATAAATGAAAGATTTAAGCCTCTAAAAAGGTTTATTTTCACTCTTTCACAGCAAAATCCCAGTGTTAAATTAATACTTTAAAGTGTGAATTATATAAACTCTGAGCAGAGTGTTAAATGAACACTGAAGCTGTGTTAAAGTTAATGAGATAATTAAGTGAATAATTGAGTGATGATTGAGCATTATTGAAGACACCTGATGTTACAAGCAGAATCACCGCAGGAGAAAACCAGAAATATGGTGATTAGTGTTTGCTTTAGTTGGGCTCTTGACCCTTAATTGATTAACTTTAGATTTTGTTTGACTGCAGTACATGGGTACTGCAGGCAACAATCAGAGTCTACAGCCAGATGAACTAATAGAAAAGGTGATCTGATGGTGATGGTTGTGTTTTAACATAATCATTATTTCACAATCATTTGACCTGAATCACTGAACTCATATAGAGCCTAATGTCTGAGTTAGGTTTACTTTATTAATTATAGCAGCAGTGACCTTGTACAGCATAATATTTTTAACGTCTACAATGTATTCAAAATCATTTATTAAAAATTTCTCTTATACATTTTTTTAAAGACATACAGACACCAATAATTAGCCAATGAATCTCAACAATGGTGACAATTATAAAGCATGTTGCATTGCATTCTGGGTGCCACCAATCAAAACTCATTCATGGCTCCCATTATGCATTGCTGCATGAATAAATAATAAGCTTATGTTCAGAGGTGATCTGTTTGTCACCATTGCTGAGATTCAAACGCTAATTATTGATGTCTGTGTGTGCCTACATAAAATATATTTGGGATTTTTTTTTTATTTGATCATTTGGATTTCATTGAAAAGGCATTCATTGTACTCAGAATTTATGCTTTCGAGGAGTTCAGTGATTCAAGTCAAATAATGATTATGTTACAAACACAACCAACACCATCAGATCACCTTTTTTATTTGTTCATCTGGCTGTTGTAAGTCACATACAGCAGCCAAACAAAATCTAAAGTTAACGATTTAAGGGTCAAGAGCCCAACTAAACCAAACTCTGATCACCATAATGGTGACTTAAAAATTAATTTTTTTCTCCTTCAGTGATTCTGCTTGTTAACATCAGGTGTCTTCAATAATGCTCAATCATCACTCAATTATTCACTCATTAACTTAATTTAACACTGCTCAGAGTTTATATAATTCACACTCTCAGTGTTAATTTAACACTGGGGATTTTGCTGATTTACTTCAAACCCTCCCCTCCAAACACCTGACTTCATTCTGGCAATTCTGGCACAGTATGTATGTAAGAGATACTTTTCACAATCAAAGTAATTCAGTTGACGCCCTATATTTTTTGCTCATTAAACATCCTGTTTTACATAAAAATGTTAATTGTGGTTATTAGTAAAAATATTGTAAAAATGTGTTTTAAACCCCACTTCATATTGTCTTTAACATCCAGTTTTTTTAATATATGTGCAGGAAACATGAAGGTGTCATTTTTATGTTTCATAGATAATGGGTTAGTGATGTCTAAAATAATCTGCTGCTTTGTGTCAGGGAATGAAGGTCCAATTGAATTTCTATATAAAGTCAATTTATTTGAGCCTTTAGTTACATATTAAAAATGTTACTAGCTGCTAAACCTGGTATACTTTGCATTTAGACTAAAATGCCAATGAAATGTAATGTACCCTGTTCTACGCAAGTCTTGCGCAAATTATTATTATACATTTTTTTAGATTTGTTTGATTTTGTATTCTTGTTTGAAAAAAGGTAGCAAAAAGGTGATGTGCTGGAACTGTTTTGATCTTGTGTTGTTAAAATAATAAAAGTGTTGACGACAATGTTTGAAAGGGCATTTTGCATGGATATAACAGAAAAGTTGGTATCTGTGCTACTTTTTTGGAATTGTGACTAATATCGTGTAGTAATACGTTCAAATTAGCACAAGTTTCAGTGGAGTCGAAAATGACAAATGTGCAAATAATAAAAGAAATGTTTGTGTATATTTCATGTGCAGAACAACAGCAGGCCACCAGTGATGGGGCAGGACATTGATTTGCTCAATAAACCATGAACAAACTCAATGTTACACTGAAAGACATTTTAACCCTTCGAAATGTATGAAGAATACAAGACCATAATGAAAATCTTTCGTTGAAAGGACAAAAGCAAACCCAGAAATATTTGCATGAATCAACATTGCTCTGGAGAAACATTGTAGAAATAAACACTAAAATACTGAATGCTGTGGCTTTTGTGTTTTTTTTTTCCTGAAGTATTTTAAATGCTTGTTATCATATTTGGATCATTCTGTGCTCAGTTTTGATTTTTGAAATGCTTAAATGCAATGTTCATATAGGCTACTTTTCATGTCCAATCATATTAATCTACCATTCCTATTATCTGAGAATATTATTGCACTCCCTTTACGAATATTATAAATAAGTATACAAATAGTCCCTCACATTGCAGGATATAACAAAATAAATCAACCACCATTAGGCTACAGAAATATGTCCAACGAAAAACAGATTATATTTTCGTTCATTATAAATCATATTCAGTCAACCATGATTTGAACTCATGACGAATGCAATTGTTTATCTCTGTGTTGTACACCCACCCGAATATTTCAAAGAATATCCAGGATTGGTGCAAACTAAACTGAAACACACCTGGCTATCCACCTAAACCGGCTTCATGGGGCCCTGTTCCTGGTTTTGTGGATTCACATTTCTGTTGTCTGTTCACGTCAAAGTATGGTTGGGTTTCCTCCTGTAATTTTTCTTCCAATCCTTGTTCCTTGTGTTGTTTTCCTTTAATAAATACACCCTCTCCTGACCTTGCTACAACCTCACCCTGAAACACTGAGCAAAACTAGAAGTCCTAGTTGAGAAAAGTTCATGATAAATAGGCACATTTGCATGGGAAACCGAGTTAAAAGAGCGTATGACTGATGATAAATCGATGGGGAAAGGAGGGATGTGGGGAAGTGACAGCAATGGAGAAGAGACAGAGAGAGGACGAGTAAAATCTATATTCTGATTTGATGAGCTGTGCTTGAAGCAAGGGTGAAGGTATATTTTACAAAATAAGTTGGACACTAAAATTGCCAGAAACTCAAAGCCATGTGCCTATCTAAGTTGTGTTCCAAATTTGAAGCTCAAATCACAAAGATTGAGAGATTTAAAGTGCCATTTCCATGTCTGATTTCACAATTATTTTCACAAGAGGAATTTTGAGTGTTTAACCTAACTTAAGATCATCACTAAAATATGTGATAGGGACTAACCGTATTCAGTCAAGCAATATTAACTCACGACTAATGCAATTGAAAGTTGTACACTTACCGGAACATTTGAAAGACATGATAAATGATGACGCAGGACAAATGGCAGTAACATGAAGCCAAATGTAAAGAATTAGAGTTGAGAAAACATCATGATAAATTGGTGCTTCCACAATTCACAGATGACTGACGATAATGAATGGATGCAGAGAGGAGGGAAGTGGGGAAGTGACCGCAATGGAGAAGAGGAAGAACCAATAAACTAATAAACGTTTATTTTCCAGCTCTATATTGCGATTGGATGAACTGTGCTTGAAGCAAGGGTGTAGGTCGTCTGGCTGTTATCCAATTTCATTCAGTTTTATTCATTCTCTTTCTTCAATGATGCCATTAAAACATTGCAGTGTATTCTGCACTTGGAGCACTTGGAGGAAACCCACACATACACAAGGGAGAATATGCTAAATCCACACAGAAAGGCCTCCTGGCTGACTCGAACCCGGGAGCTTCTTGTTGAAGGAGAGCTTCAGAGAGCTGGTGAAGAATGGGGTTAGTGCCGGTCCGGTTTTAAGTTTTTATTTTTTACTTCATTGGAATGGTACAAAACTTTAGCCTGGATGCCAGCCCAAACTCCGCCCACAACATTTTTTGGACGGGAAGTTCGGTCTGGACTCGATCCATTGAGGAGTAATTATGGTCTTCAGTAACGTAATCCTCACGTTATCAAAGTGCGCTTGTCAAAGATGACTACAGCTGGAGAATTGAGATGTATAGTCTGTTGTAAAATGAATCGACAGCTCATTCATTTTAATAGACAAACAGAGAACTGCAATCAAGGCATTTGTCGATCGGAAAGATATTTTTGGCGTTCTTCCTACATGATTCGGGAAAAGTGTAACTTATCAGCTGGCTCTGACGGTCGTTAAGAAGATGGGACGTAATGAAAAGCCTGTGGTCGTTGTGGTTTCTCCTTTGGTGGCACTCATGGAGAAGTAAGTAAAAGAAGAACACTCGTTATTTAACTTCTAAAATAAATAAA